CCTCTACTTTGCGTTTCACTGGTCATTCAGAAGAAATCCTGTGGGGTTGATTTGAGGATTCTGACTGCTTGAATCAGGGACCCCAGTGGTCTTCTTTCCTAGAAGAAAGTTCAGTTCCTTCAGCCTCTCACTAGGAGACTGCCTTAAGCTCCAGTTGCTCTTCCCTGAACCGATTCCAGACTTGTGGTGACTAAGAATGAACACTAAAGGAGACGTTACCAGTGCATTATACAGTTATAGCATCTCTTCACTTATATTCACACTTAACTATACTCCAGCCTGTAGTACACATCTTCTAGACAAACATGGCAAACGTACACAAACATACCCAGGCAAAAGTGCATTTTTTTACTTAGCCTATCATCCATCACACAAGACCATTTCACAAGTGTTCTTGCTTGTGGTCTTGCCCTTTGGGCAGGACCCGTGTTATTACAGTCTGCACATAGCAGAATCTGCCATGCATCCTCCCACTCAGCTCAGGCACCCTTCTCTAGTTTTTCAGGCGAACACTGGGGTGATGCCAGTACTTGCCTTCCCCACAGGGACCAGGCAGTGGTACGAGATTCCCTGGAACAACCCCTTCATCCAGAGAGCCAAGCCCTCCAGCCAGCCTCCTCTGGGGACTCAGGCCAAGGGCTGCTTTTTCTGCCTGTGCGTCTGGCATCGTCAAGATGAACGCTCACAAGCTGCAGAAGGGGCACAGTTTGCGACTGGACCTCCTCCAGCTGCTCCTGCAGGCTGCCAGCCGTGAGGGTCAGCTGCTGGGCTTCAGCCTCATGGGCCTGGCAGCTAGGGCACCTGCAGAGCCACAGCGTCCTGGCCACACAAACTCGGTTGCTGTTTCAGTCAGATTTCTGAAGCTGGCCCCAGTCCTGTACTCACCCCAGGAGGCTCTCCTCTGAGAATAGGGGAAACCTGTCCCACGCTCTGTGTCTACTGAGGCTCGTTTCAGCTCATAAAACTCCAAGCACTTAACCCCTAAAAAGTCCCCTTCTACACATCCCCATTATCCCAGTTTAGTTTGGTTTATTGTCATCTGCACAAGTGCTACGAACTGTTTACTTCCATGTATGTTCCAATACAAAAAACATTAAACGAATCACCAAAAACATAAACACAGAACATCAGCAGCAACAACACCCATGTGAAAATGTGCCTTCCAATCATTTATTCAGTAACGGAATAAGGGATAATTTGTTCATTAATAATTCAAGCAGCGACTGAAATTCACCAGGTGAGCTATTTTCATGTTCTTGGCCACGTTTGGCGACCCCCTACTGGTAGGTCCTGGTTATTGTAGTTCCATTAATAGGGAATGTGCACTTTCCTGCCGTAACTGTATTCACGCAATATGAAGCACGAACAATACAAGCAGTACTGTGCCAAGGTTAGCTTGGGACTTTGTTTTGCAGATGTTTATGTCACGGTGGTACAGAGTGTGAGATGCGGGAGGTCTGCTGTGTCTGCTGGGGTGAGTGTGCATGCGATTCTAAAGAGCTAGCAAGCTAGCATTTTGCGTCACATGTCATGTCAGCATATCACCTCGTGATGTGATGACTTCTTTTATTGTCTCTTAGCTTGTCTTATCTCAGTGAAGTCAATGTCAATCTAATAGACTTTAAATATGTTGACTAACCATGAAAAACCACTGTTCGTTGAGGACCTATGTCTTGATCTGCCCCTGTCACTCCGATCTCTGCTTGTTCAAACCACATTCAAACTCAAAAAGCCAGAAAACAGAAAACACTGTGGAAACACTGTGGCCAAGAATGGCACAAGCAGGGCTACAATAACACACACAGGCCATGTGCAGGATGTGGAGACATGGCTGTTGAGGATTTCTGTTGAACTCTCTCTTTTTCCACTCATGCTCTTCCCAGGCTCTGCTGGGAAGTGGAGCTGAGTCCCCGTTAGTGATGGATCAAGGTTATACAGTATGCAGTCCACCCTGAGGGATGTCTGGATATCAGTGAGCGTGGAACCGACGTACAAAACGATACGCTAATTAGGGGGTACAACAGACCAGTAGTGCGATTGTGTGGGCAGGCATGTTTCAGTGTGGAAGAAGTTACCCACTTCTGAGCATCGCAGTCACATCCAATCTTAAATCATGGCACTGACAAAGATATTTAAAGTTTCTCTGAGGTCCTTTAAATTCTGAAAATTATATTTCCAAGAAAAGGACAACCAGGCAGAAGAAATGGATTCTTTATTGCAGAATCTGCCATGTGTTAACACTGCTATATACATTTTTTACATATATAACTATTGACAATTATACAGTACATCACATCATATATAAAACATATTATATACATTTAAAAGCTTTCTCCTGTCTTACCACCTAATGTAAGAACATACTGGATTCTACAGAATCTGGATTCTACAGAAATTCCAGTGTAAGAACTGAGAAATTTCTATATTATTGAAGAGTAAGACAAGTAGTAAACTGATACAGCACAGCAGATCCACAGCAGTGGAGGCCTGGTAGCCCGGTTCTCTATTCCTGGACCTCTTCTGACAGTCCAGAACGCTACCTTGCAAGGTCCCCTGTCGCTGTGTGCTTCTCACTCTTCTGTGCACTGAAGTGCTACAAGGCTTTGACTGCTGTACTTCAGAAAGTCTCCTGTTTTTTCTACAATCTGGAACCAGTTCTTCCTCATTGTCCACCCTTCCCACTTCAGAACCGCTTCCTGCTGGTGGACCGGGCCTGCCCTTACGGCCCGCGTTGCGTCCCGGCCCGAGGGACACGACAGAGGCAGGACCTGCTTTCCTCCAAAACGCTTGCTCCTGGCCCGCGCCGCGAGCTCCGCGGTGCCCTACAGCAGAGTGAGGGCCAGCTCGACCGATGTCCGAGTACGTCTGAGCAGGGCCAGGGGCCACGAGACAGAGCAGGCCAGCACTAGACCCTTCCCCGTACAGCATCTTCTAGGACGGAGGCTGCCGCCCAAGTCAAGCACCTCCACTCACTGGAGGTGGGCACAACTCCGCTCCTCCCCCACTGACGCTGGAACACAAGTTACCAACAGGAGGCCAGCAGCCAAAACTCCCACAGTCTCCGGCCTTTGTAAGGTGTGCAGGAAAAGAGTCACCGGCTGCACACGTGGGCTCGGAGCGAAGATGGGACTCAGATGGTTTCTCAGCAGCTCATCAAGCAGAGAATCAGCTGGGAACAGACACACAGACACACACATGCAAACAGTCTCACACTCGTCCCACGTACACACTCATACTCACAGACTGACTCGGCCTCAGATGTTGGGCAGGTGGTGGTCGTACTTGTGCTTGACCTGTTTCTTCACCTCAGGGGCAGGGGAGTGGTTATTGCCAGGCAGCTGGGGCAGGTGCTGGGGGGTGAAAAACAATGCAACACGACTCAACACAGACGATACAGGACACCTCCCACGCAGCACCACGCAGCTCCGTGCGCGTCTCAGCCCCGGGTTTCTGATCCCTGCTTCTCTCCAGACCTCAGTCCCAGCCTCCTGGTGCCGAGGGGCGTTCATACTGGAGCTCTGAAATCGCACCACCTCGTGCGGCGCGTAACCTCCGGACTGCCACGCCCCCACCCTGATCCCCGGACCCTGACGCCTTACCCCCGGGGCCCTGCGACGGGTGCCCCTTTCCTGCCTTCGTCCCGCGCCCCCCTCTTCCTCGCCGCCCTGGCTCTCGAAGTACGGCAGCTCCAGCAGCTCCTCGCAGGTCAGGCGGAGCGCCGGGTCCATCACCAGGCACGACTGCCGAGAGAACGACGGGAGATTGACCACTGCTGTGGCAGAACGCCTTTTTACTGTGTGGGTCGGTTTTGTCCAGCTGGGCGTGTTTCTGAAGCGAAGACTGCGAAGAAGAGTGAAGACTCTTCTCCAGGTGTCCCGCTGCCTGACAGTTATCAGTGCACAGCCCTTAACGCCCTTGAAAATCGAAAATGCGCTGAGAGAGCTGTGTTAAT